AATGAATGAAACTTGATGTTCCTGTCAATTTTGTTTCAGTATTGAACATTAAAAATGATTTATTGTCGACCAAAGTCAAATGTAATATGATTTTCACCCAGTTTTGTTCTGTCTTTACAAGCCAGGTGCAGCTTTCATCACTCCAGGTTTTTGCTAACCTAAATTCAAAGTGTTTGTGTTTAGTAGTTTTTACAAGAATCCTATGAGATTCTTTTAAACTTTCATCAAGGGCGAGGAGAGGTCCAGGGCTTTGAGATTGCAGAATTTGGGTTAAGCACTTGACTTTCGTTCAAATTGGCAATCTCTTTTCAAAAGGAGCGTTATTCTCTCATCTTTAAAAAATGCTGGGTTTAGTTAGTTCGGATACTAAGCAAGTTATCAGGAGATTTCTCAAAAATGAGGAAGAAAAAGCCAAGGCTGCCTCTTTGAACTGGAACCACCACCTCCAGAGCTACTGGCGAGTTATAGGGTAGTTTCTCTTGATTTTCATCTGTGCCTGGTGGAGTTACCACAGGGCCAGGACAATCAGCTGAAAAGCAAAAGACTTGAGCCAAGCGACCAAAGCATTTTGCCTGCACAATACGAGGGCAAGAGAAAGTTTGTCTGAAATGTTTTGCTAATATCACTTAAATGGTATTACTCTCTCTGGAGTACATGATTATAACTTCGCTACAACCTGGAAAATGCACTGTCCTTCCCCTCCTTACCTACTCCCCCCTGCCAGGTTATGAAGGAATAAAATATATTGTCTGGGAAATGACTTAAATGCACATGTAAAATAGGTTCTCAGACATGGCTACTAACTTGAGTTGAATCCAAGAACCTGTTTCATATGGGACTAAACTTATCCCAAGCTAGTCTGAGTAGTTATTGAAAGATTGCCACCCTGTTTGAGAGGCATCCCTGTTTTTTTGTATCTCCTTATTATTTCTCCTTTAGGTATCAAGCTCTCACATTTGGAAAATTTTATTTTTTTAAATTTATTTGTTATGTAAGTTCTTATGTAGACATTTAAGATTTTCTACATATGAGACACTTAGTATGCCTTTTTCCTTTTCTTTTTGTTTGCTATAGGGCATGTGCACTTACCAGAGAGAGAGGGAGAAAGAGAGAAATCACTCCCCACAGGGGATGGCCATGCCATAATCCTTTCTCCTCCATTCTTTTCTTGGATTTTGAGTACACACACGCATGTGCCTGGTGTGATTTTTCAAGCCACCAGGTCCAGGACTTGAACTGTGCACTCGGCCATGTGGGATCTAGCTGCCTTATCCTCCGAACCACCTGCTGGACCAGAAACTTTTTTTTTTTTTTTTAAATAAAAGCCACAGCAGTCCCTAGTAGGAGGTAAAGTGCTCATCCAATTGCCTCCTAGCCTCTTCCAAGAGGATGGCTTGACCAACACATGACTCCTCAATTTCTAGATAGGAGGGTAGTTGGAAGGAGGTGTGAAGCTGTGTTTATTTTCCTTTTCAAAGTTTTATTTATTCCATGGAGTGACAGAGAAAGACAGAGAGAAAGGGAGAGAGACAGCACCCCAACAGGGTCTTGACTTTGTGATCCACTCCCAGTCTTAGCCCCAGAGGCACCTATGTGCCAGAGTACTCAGGGAGGTCTCCAGTCTCAAACCCGGAACCTTCCCACGTGGGTCATCCTCACACTATGTTGTATTTTACTGCTATGCAATGGCCCAGCCCCCTTTTTAAAGACAGGTTAGTTTTAAGTTTCTTTCTTTCATGAAAGAGAGAGAAAGGAGCACCACGCTGTGATCTCAGCCTCACCCCTAGCCTTCCAACCAACCAGGATCACAGGTGTGATTGCAGGCACGCCTGGCATGTTCAGGTTGGCCCTGCCCAAATAGCTCCAGTCTCACACAGGAGCACCCTACCTGCTGCACCACCATGGCTGGCGTGAAGTAGTATTTACATATGATAGCAAAAACATCAATTCTCTATTCCAAATGAGAGGTTCTCAAGCTCATCAATTGACTCCTTTGCACTGCCACCATGCAGACTTCACTTAGAATTCAGCACATTACAAATGGGGCTCGATATTTCCCTCTTAAAACTAGTGCCATGGGGGCCACTTGCCTGTGGTTAGGTTATCTTAACCTGTGAAGGTTAAGATGGCTGAATCCCACATGGTTCACATTCCAGACCTGAAGGCCTGAAAAATACAGCTGGGCACCTGTGCATACATGCCCAAAATCCCAAGAGGAGAACGGAGAAGGGACTGAAGGTGGTTATGCCCCCTGGGGAGTGGTTTCCTACTTTCCCTCTCTCTGTCTGTCTCTGGTGAATGAACTTACCCTATAACAAACAAAACTAGCTCCTTGGTTCCCCTTCCCAATTTCCTCACCTATTTAAGGTAGTATTTTCCTTCCTTGTCAGATTAGAAACATTCTAATCCCCCTTCCTAGCTATTTCCCATCCAGTACCCTATTACTCAAATCCTATCATTTCTTGCTTTAGGTCTTACAAACTTCCCCTCATTCTTTTCTATTCCAGGAGAATGGAAACAGAAAATGAGGATCTGGCTGGGGTAGGGAGATGAGAAATATATCACATTACAAGTGAAGAAAAAGTATAGGAATAATAAGAACACACCAAATAAGAACACATACAAAAATGCAAAATAACCAAGCCGGGCATACAGATCTTAAGGCAATAGCTAGCACTGTGTTTGTCCTGTAGCAGTTTAGAACAGTTGGGGTCTTTCCACCTGTTCAAGGGCCTTGTATGGTGAGGTCCATGGGGTCCAGCTCAGGTCACTGTTGTTTACCACCATCACTTTTTTTTTTTTTTTTTTTGAGAGGTTTTTTTTTTTTCCCCTCCTCCAGGGCCCTCGCCAGACAGAGAGACAGAAAGCAAGATATCAACCCCTGGGCGGGGGATGGCCATGCCACAATCCCTTCTCCTCCATTCTCCTCCCGGGATCCTGGGCACGGACGCACATGCACCCAGCATGAGTTTAAGCCACCGGGTCCAGGACTTGAACTGCAGTTGACTACATGGGAGATCAGCAACATAGCCATTATGCTAACTGTTGGTCCCCCCCACCATCACCTTTTTTGAAATGAAGAAGCAAACCTTCACTTCCAGATGAAATCCTCTCCATCTACAGCACAGTGCAAAAAAATAAATAAAAATAACCCGGTCTAAACTAGTGTTAGCACAATCTATTACAAGTATTTCATCGTTTAGACTTTTTGCATTTTATTTCCACCTGGACAACAGCTCATTCTTTTGCATCCTTACGGCCCCTCCCCCTCCCTATAGCAACCAACACAGAGTTCCGTTGTTTGTGGTCTACAAACACCATGTCAAATCACAGAGCCTTAGAACTTTAGAGTCAGAAAGACTCTAAAGGAGTTCCTCTTGTCCAGTCCTTTACCTTACGGAGGAAGAAACAAGTCTAGATCGATTCAGTGACTTGCCCAAGCTCACACAGCCACCTAATGACAAGGCAAAGACCAGATCCAGGCTTCTTCCTGAAGTCTGTACCCTAAATTGTCCCTAGATAATGAGTGACAGAAATACTTGACTACATCAGGTCTCCAGGGGGTGGAGGTGATGGGGTCGTTTGCTTTACTGAAACATTTACAAAGACTCGGTTCACGACACTCGCTAGGCGGCCGGGAGGACTAACTCCTAACTCGGGGCTGAGCAGAGTCACAAGTTCCGTGCGGCACTTGTTCACCGGTCTGCCGGCCTCGCCTCAGGAGCCTGTGACAGGCGGGCGCACACGCGGGCCTCGCACGCAGGGGCTCCCCCTCGGCCCGTCCCCAGCCGCCGGTTTGTCACAGCGGCGGAGC